GGGGGGGGGGGGGGGGGCTTGTTTAGCAAAAGGGGGAAGTGAGGCAGGTTCAGTTTGTTGGAGCAGACTCGGGGGTTTAAGGCTTTCAGGGCTTCTGCTGAAGGGATCCCGAGTTTTGTATGAATACAAGGTTCAGGGTTCGGGGTTTTTGGGGGTGTAGGGTGGGGTTTCAGGTTCGAGGTTAGGAGTTTAGACTTTGGTTCTGGGGTTTGGGCGGCCCAGGCTATCGGGTTCGGGGTTTCAGCTCCGGGGTTCGAGGGTGGAGGGTTTTTTGCACTTTTCCGCAACGTGACTGCGAGGTGATTTCCGTGGAGTATTTAAGCTGACGAGGATGATTGCGATGACGAAGATGATGACCCTAAACCCTAAACCCCTAAACCCGATGATGTCTATGATTGTCTCTTGTGGTGCGTTGCCAGACTTTGGGGGCTGCTTTCTTGTCGCAGGTATAGTAGAACAGACCTCATGTTTCACACTAGCTTTTGGTCGGCGCAGTTTTCGGCGTAACTTAGTGCTGCGGGTGACGAGCTTGCGCTGAGTTTGGCGTTGGTGGGTTCAGGAACATGTCTCGTAGTTTCACAGCTTCAAAACTCGCCTGAACGGATTGAGACCCACCTCCCTCCGAAAGCGCAAGCACGGCAGCATTGGAGGCTCCGGAGCAAGCATGACTGCAAGAAGATCAGAGGATGCGCCACAAACTCTTTGAAGTCCTAGATCCTCAGTGCCAAAGATACTTCTGAAGCTTTACAGTTGAATCTTACAATTTCTACACCTTAAAGTCCCAAAGTCCTTCAGCCCTACACCTCGATTCACTTACCCCGAAGGCCCGCAGCAACGACGCCCTAAAGCCTTTAGAGGTTTAGTCTCTAGAGGAGTTGAAACTTCCTGTGAAGCTCATGGCATCTCTTCCAATGGAGTGGCTGCGGAGAGCTCTTACCACGGATCTGGTCGTGCCCGGCACGGCTTTTGGAGTGCGGACTGCGGTTGTGGCGATTCTATTTACCATCTTTGTCTCGCTCATGTCCGCCTTCTTTCTGCTGACCTTCAATCACTCAGGCGCCGGAAACCCAGAGACTCCAATATCCCTCAATTAAGGAATATACCTTAAATTATAATAGGAACCCCAATAAGAATTAAGGTATATTCCTCAATTAAGGGATATTGGAGTCTCTGGGAAAGTGCCGAAGCATCAAACCGAGCCCCCTGAAGTTTCATTCTCTGCACTTCAAGTCCTCTCTGCACGGAAAAAGCAGACAAGGAGCCCCTCATGCAATTCAAATCCTAGACCCTTCTTATCGGGTTCTCGAGGGCATGTACCCAGAGGCTCCAAAGTAGTTCCTTTTTGGGGGTTACCTTGTAGGATCCTAAATATACACCCACAAAAAGGAACTACTTTGGAGCCTATGGGTATGTAGGGGCGTGTTAACCCTTACCACTTGTAGTTGTGCCTGCCGCCCAATGAGGGAGATTGGCAACTGCAGTGAGTTTGGGAAATTTGTGAGCGCATGACCCAGTCAGTGTAGCATCACATCAGGTTCCTACACCCAAAACCATGAAAGCTCATCCTACCCAGCAAAAACCCTGTTCACCATAAAGGCCCGATTTAAAGCACAAAACGCGCTGACCTACTCCCCTGGAGGCTGGTTTGAGCTGATGATCCTCGTCGTGATCTCCTTCTTTGTCTTGGCTGCAATTTCTTGCGTGTGCCTCCGGCTTCAGTTTGATACGATGGCTTCCAGCAGATATTGACAGATCCTGAATCATCCACCATAAGAGACAGAAACTGCACCCTGTAGTTCAGGGTCCTGCATAGACCAATACCGGCTTTCGCCCATGAAGGCCTCGAAACGGGTTGCTGGGTAGTGGGTAATTAGCCATATGCCCCTAAGTAGTTCCTTTTGGGGATTACCTTATAGGATTCCAAGTATAAACCATAAAAAGGCACTACTCAGGAGCCTATGGGTAGCAGTGCCTTTACGGCCCGAGTCACATCTTGAGGGAGGCGGCCGGGGGTTTTGGGTGCCAAAGTCCTTGTCTCATGAGCCTCCAGACCAGGCATAAAGTACTTGGGTTTGGGGTGGTGATGCAGGTTAGTTAGTTAGAAGCCTGAATAAATGCCAATGTTAACATTAACCCTGAGGGCTCCAGTATAACTATGGCATAACATTGTCTGATTATGAAGGCCCCTATATCATCTGGGGACAGATTTTGCTTTCTGCTGCACCTTAAATGACTGGTAATGGTGAAACTAGTAGTATAACAGTAGTGAATATAGTTAGTCATGGTGGTAGTAATAACTAATCGTACTACCAGTACAAGTCATCGTCATCGTAATCAAAAGAGAAAGAGTAAGAGAAAGAGCAACACTAAGAGTAAAGAAAACCGTGATAGTGATAGTGCTTGTACGCAAACAACATGATGTGGAACTCCAGCACAAACTCGTGGACCCCAACCCCCACACCCTACACCAAATCCCGGAAGAAGCCCAGAGCATTCCGGAAGGTACAAGGATCCACGGGCCCTTTCTGCTGTGGACCCGATGGAAGCGAAATCGGATGGAAAAGTCCTTTGGGCTTCTTGTCTTCTTGATGGCAGCTTTTATGCTGGTTGCGTTTAAAACTTCAGGACTGTTGGGGTTTAGGGTCCAGGGTTCAGGGTTTAAGGGTTCTGGGTTTGGGAATGAAGGTCTTGTATAACTGCGGTCCCGGGTTCGGAGTTTCTACTTTGACCTACTCTGTGATTGCAGTGCTCACGACTGCTTTTGGCATCCTGACGGCCTGGAGAAAAAGACACCCAAGCCCTCAGAACGTAAACTTTGAAACACCAACCCCCTTGCAGTACCTGCGATAATTATAATTAGTACTTCCCCCCCGCCCCATGTTTTGCACCATAAAAACACAGCGGTGCCCGCAACTCATAGGTCGATGCCGGGTCTAAGCAGCTAGGGTACACCCGAAAAGTCCAAGCACCTCGGAATTAGGGTTTAGGGTTTAGTGTATCATAGGTTAGCCTGCCTTACACTTAACCCCAGAAGGAAATATGGCATCCGGCATCCTTGGGATCGTTTGGGCTAGCGTTGCAGCACTTTAAGCATGCTGATTCGGGTCTGGGCTTCTTGTACAGCAGCCCTCATACACCTAAAACGTATTTACCTGGAGGTGCATGGGTAGTTATAAGTAGGGTTATACGTCCCCTAACATGGGTTATAAGTATAGTTATGCTGCTTGTAAGCCTACTTATAACTACCCATGAACCTCCAAGTAGTAGACTGTAGAATTTAACAGCAAGGAAACTTTGCGAGTAAACGCCTATGGCTACTCCGCCCTTCTCAAAGAAAGTAGCGCAAGCAATACAAAGTGCAAAATGCTATAATGCCTAAACCCCAAACTACATCCCAAAATCCAAAATCCTATAAAGCTAAACCCTAAACCCTTAAACCCTAAAACCGAAATTGGATCCCAAATCCTAGGCCCCTAAACCCGAAGCTGCCAAGAACCAATCCAAGACAACTCCGAAGATACCCCCAACTCTCACTCTAAGGGTACTGTGGGGATACTGTAAGGAAGCGATATAAGCCTACAAAAACAGTTACTTTCATTGTCTAGTATTTACCCCTTGCACCTTGAAGCCCGAAGCTTTAGGGTTTAGGGTTTCTAGGCGTCTCCTGAAGGCTTAAAGTATCCGAAACGGCAAAAAAGTGGGAGATCTGAGATCCTGAACCTACGAGGCCGAAGTCCTAAAACCCGCATCCCATCAACCCAAAACAAGCTCCACATTAAGCCGTCGGTTTTTTGACCGCCCTACATCCTAAACCATCAAATCCCCGAACTCATTTTAGGCAGCGTGCACCTATGAGATGCTGGAATCAAGACTCGAGTTCCGCTATTTCTGGGCGAAAGCCCACCAGCACCCCTGGTTCTGCATTTGTTTGTCGATAGCGTTTATCGGTTTAGTGTCCATTAGGGAGATTCTACCCTTATAATGGTATCCTATAAGTACCCTTATAGTCCTTTATCGTATTCTTACAGTTGTTGTTAGTCGGTTCGATTTTGGTTACGGCGAGGTTTCGGGTTTCGACCAGGGTGTTTTGGGCATCCTATCCGATGTGGTTGTTGTTTCACGGCGTTGGCGAAAATTTGGGGGGTTCGGAGTCAGGGCCTTGCATCACCGGGTATTCATTCAGCTTTCGGGATGTTTAGGCCTTGGGGATTGTTGTTGGGTTTTGGGCTGTCCGGGGTTAGGATCTACGAGTCCGTGATTTGAGACATAGGGCATAGTGCAGGGTTGAGGCGTCAGAGGAACTTGATCCTGAGTCCGGACCTTCATCCCCCACATGCTACATACTACGGTGGATGGTATAAATCCTGCGTTACCCATAATAAGGAATATACCATAATTCCCATAGTTTAGGGTCCTTAAGGTAGTGCAGGATGTATATCATCAACCGTAAATCTCCGTCCGTTTCTATGTTTCTGGGCCCACGAGTTCTGGGGCCCAAATTAGAACCCTACGCCTACATCCTGAAATTCTGGAAACCTGGTGAGTGTAAGGTGAGCCTCCAAAACAAGTCGTCGGCCCCAACCTACATGAAGGTTTCCGAAACTAGGGGACCCTAAGATAGTACCCTAAATAGGAGGATCCTTATTCTAAGGATCCCAAAATAGGGTATCCCTTAGTTTCGGAAACTCCCACATTCAGGCACTCCGACCAGTGGGCTCGTTCCCCTCCGGTGACTCGGCCGATCGATGTTGGAAATTTTTGCCAACGCCTCATTCCCGACCCTGTGGGCTTTAGGGTTTCTAGGGGGTTGCGGGTTTCAGTGTCTCCCAGAAAAAGCCCTTGTGAACTTAAGCCTTACGAGCCGTTTCAAAACCCTGTGAAACTGCATAATTAGTGGCTAGGAAGCCCTTTTTAAAGAAAACACTAACACCCATATCAAACCTTCAAAGCCTGTGGAAAGCCTTTGTTGCTCTGACAAACCTAGAGCCTCCGGCTCAAGCCGCCGACCCCGCAGGCGTCACAGGACCGGACGTCAGTGTGGGCTTCAGACGAAAAGTGGAGGGCCTGGAAAACACACATTGTGGCCAGTGCTGGCAGAGCCGTGACTCGTAGCGCACGACTTGTGCTACAAAATCCTAGTGCTGCTACCGACGCAGGTCTCAATACTACTCGTCGAGGTACGAACATGCCTGGACCCGAAAGCCGGAAGCCCGCAGTTGAGGAGAAGGGCGAATCTTTGGGCTGAGGGGTTGAGTGGGGAGGAGTTCCTGTTTGCGGGAGGTTCTCCGGATTGTGACTGTGACTGTAAGGCATCTGAGGTCCAAGCGGTCCGCGCCTTCCGCGTAATGCCGTTTGCCGTTGTCGGCACCAACAACGCGAATTTAAAGCTAACAACATTGCAGACCCTGAGTCGAAAAGCGGCAAGGAGGGTCAGAAGACACAGGGTCGGGCCACAATGCAGAGCACAGGAATCATAGCTGCTCGTTGAGAAGAAGCTCATCTGCGCTTCATGAACTCGAATGGGTAAACAACGAGCATAATCACGCGGTGCACTGCGGCAGCTACGCATGCACTCGGCTGCAGCGCTGTCCAATGCAATGACTTGGTCAAGCTCAAGCGGCCGGAAATGGCTAACAATTATGTCCCAACCATAAGGTGATCGGTTGTGCAGATGTGCAAGCAACTTGGACCTTGTAGCAAACTTCAAGCGGCAACCGCAAGATGTGTTGGAAACTCCTGCATAGAAGCGCCACTTAGTGCCGACGCCATGCATCTTGCTAGCATGTGCCGCCAGTTGTCGTTCTACTGCGAAAAGCATGCGACCAGGCCGTGTGCACAAAGTCGGCAAGTTCATCAGCAACGACAGCGGGCTCAGAACTGCCAGTTTCCGCAGCACGACAGTTTTTGGCCATGACGCCGTCGTAAACAGCTATGGCCGTGTTAACGGACGGCTCAATCCGCCGCAAGGGTTTGCGACCCCTACCCCCCCCCCCCCACAAAAGAAAAGGGAGGCCAACGTGGGGTTTTGGTGTGGGAGGAAGGAAAAAGGGCTTACACCTCCGAGCGGCGGACACGCCAGCTCGCCTTGTGGAAATCACCAGACTTCCCTCCAAAAAGCCCCTGAAGGACCGCTGAACCCCCAAACCTCGAAACGCTAATTTAAAAAAAGAAGGAGAAGAATAAGAAGAAGCAGAAGAATAATGTTGGAATTATAATTATAATACTATGAATAATAATAACAATAATCATCATAAACATATTGCCTATGCCAATAATACTTATAAAACTTATACTAGTATTAATGCTGATGATGTGAATGATGTGAATAATGTGTATCATACCATAATACTAAGTACTACGAACGCTAATAATCGTCACACTAAATAATAGCTTCAAAAATCTGACATAAAGACCCTAAAGTCTCCAGAACCCTTTAAAAAACCCCAGCCCCAAAGACCCCAAAGACCCCAGAACCCTTTAAAAATCCTACACCTCAAAACTCTAAACCCTGAACCCTAAACCCTAAACCCCTAAAGCCCTAAATCCCTAAACCCTAGACCCTGAACCCTAAACCCTAAACCCCTAAAGCCCTAAACCCTAAACAGCCCCAAGGTGACCATGCCGGCGGTTCAGGTGGTACAAAGTAAGACCTGCCTCTGTTGCCTTGAGGAGTTGCAACCCAGGACCTCTGCCTTCAGAGCTCGGTTTCGGGGTTTAGGGTTTGCGGTTGAGGGGTTGCGGTTTAGGGTTCAGGGTTTAGGGGTTTAGGGTTTGCGGTTTAGGGTTCAGGGTTTAGGGTTAGGGTTCAGGGTTGGGGTTTAACGTTCAGGGTTTGGGGTTCAGGGCTTAGGGTTTAGGGCGTATGTTGTGCTTGATCGGTTTCTTGCCCTAAGCCCTAAACCCGTTATGGAGTGTTGCAGGGCTGGAAGAGGGTTTCATAGTGCTTAAGTTTAGGAGGCCTAGGTTCGAGCACAATTTGGAAGAAACCCGAAGGTTTTGGGTTTAGGAGTTTAGGGCTTGGAGCATAATTTAGGGACAGTATCGCATTTGTCCCTACCATGAAATCAACAGGCAACGATTTCTTGGGTGTGCTTAGAGTTCATGGTGAGGGTTGGGGTGAGGGGTTTGGGTGTTTTTCTTGGAGATTGAGACAAGCTATTTTGCTCGGTCCCTGTCCCTATCTTCATTGCTTCGCTTAATTCCCAAAGGGTGACAAAAAGTGTAACGAAACTGAAACAAGTTTCCAAATTTGACTTCGAACCCGAAACCCTGCACCTGAACCACTAGATCTCAATCAACTAAAGCCCCGAACCCCCGGCAATCCAAACCCTGGCCCGCCCGATCCTCGCAGACATAATTTCCAAGTTGAGGTAGGAGTGCAGTAGGTATGTATTGCCAACATAGAGCCGCACACAACAAATAGGCTTCGGGCAGGCTAGGGTAGCTTGTAGTAGAGGATCCGAAGGCTCGGGGTTTTCCTCTAAGTTTCAACTGTTTTCAGTCTTTAGGGTTCAGCCTTTAGGGTTTAGGGTTTAGGATTTAGGGTCTATAGGGCTTAGGGTTTGAAGCTTAGGATTTAGGGTCTAGGGTTCAGGGTGGTTCGGACACCAACAGTATGTATGCAACATCTGCCACGAAAAGGTGAGCTCTTACGGCTTCGTGCCTTAAAGCTGAAGCTTGTTTTGCCTTACAGTAACCGCTGAACCCTAACCCCCAAACCCTAAACCCTAAACCCCTGAACCCTAAATCCTAAACCCTGAAACCCTGAATCCTAAGCCCTAAAACCCTAAACGCCAAGCCCTAAAACCTTAAACCCTAAACCCCCGGAGCACTACACCCTACATCCCCACAGCCTTGACAAAGATCCAGGAGTCAAGTAGTGGTCCTTCCCTGCGGCCATGTCTACCATCAGGACAGATTGGGGGGGCTGTCCGGGGCCTAAACCCTAAACCCTAAAGGCCCTAAACCCTAAACCCTCAAGGGATCTGCCTTGAAGACGGGTTTCGGGCTTAACGGATGCTAGGATTTGTGTTTTCAAAGCGGGGCCCTGCTATTATTAAAGTAGAAGCCTCAAAGTTAGAACATCACTATCCTCATGCCCTCCACGCAAAGTAGAGGGAATCCCAGCTAGTTCCATGTTCCAACTTTCTGGGCTTCACTACAGGGTTCCAAATGGGCCCTTCTTCTACATTTTGAAGAAGAACCCTGAACCCTAAACCCACAGAGCCGTTTTCCAGGGGCAGCCCTAAACCCTAAACCCCTAAAACCCTAAACCTTAAACCCCTAAAGCCCTAAACCCCTAAAGCCTTAAACCCTAGAAGTTAAACCCTGAACCCTGAACCCGAAACCCAAAGGAGCCTTTTTCCAGGGGCAGTACTGTGAGCCCGGGCCTTCCCCCGAGTGGAAGCCCCCTTCTCTCGCGAAGGCCTTCGCAGAGAGAAAACACTAAAGCCCTAAACCTGGGTCCTTGTTGGATACAAGTTTACAGATTTTGTTTTAGTTAGACCCTAGTAACGAAGAAAGATGATCATTTTAAATTTTACATTTTTGTTATACGAAGGCCCTAATAAGGATTAAAAATGCTCATGTTGAATTATGTCATTTTTGTTATAATATGGCCCCAACAGGTAGCCAGAAACTGTCTAAGGATACCAGGACCCCCCCCCCCCCCCAGTAGCGCTTTTAGGATCCCTTATGGCCCTTAATGCTGGGTAGGTATAACAGTTGGTGGTTGGGGGGTTGAGGGTTAAAAGCTTCAGGCTACCATGACAAAGCCGCCCCAAACCCCAAACCCTAAACCCTAAACCCAAACCCTTATCCCATTTGCAACATTACCGCTGGTCTTGAAGCCCTCCTGAAACGTAGAGGAATGCATTGCGTCCTGGTCCTTCTCTTCATCTGCCGGC